CGTTCTGCAGCGTCGCGACTGGGAAAACCCTCCCCAGTCTAGCAGAATGCACGACGCGTGCAAATTGAACATGTACCATTTGGCGGTGCCCATGTTTTTTGGCGTCTCCCAAACGATGCAATAAATTCCAAAAATGTGAAGAGGTGTCGCAAAAACAGTTATAATATGAAGAGTGTTTGTTAGGGCTTCGGGTGTGTCTAGAACCATATCTTTTGAAAAATCAGAAATCCTGAGTGGATAAAATAACAGGCCCGTGGGTGCGCAAGTTTGCACCTGACGTGTATAGAAAGTGATGTAAAAGAAACACCTAGAAAAGCACACGACCAATTTTTTCAGCTGATATGATTTTTGAGCTAGATCACGCATTATATTTCTGTCCTTATCAAAACTTTGAACGACACTGGTACACCCTTTCACTGCTCAAACCTAATAGATTGGATGGCTCAGTGGTCTAATTTTAAAACCAAATTTTCTCGAAACTGATAGGTCCGCAGCAAAAACGAAAAACAGATCCGGAAAGGACATGTCCTCAACTTTCGAATAATATCGGTCTCGACCCGAAACTTCAACTTAAGTCAACAAGCTTCCCTTAGAATCATTAATACGAATGATGAGCCTTTGCCAAGCCAATTCCCATATTTCCATAGTCTGGTTATATTCTCAAATCCCGCGCCGTTTTTCACCCAGTCTCTGTAAGTTGAAGATTCTGAAATTTCGAAAATTTGGAAATTCTGGATAATGAAGTTATGAGATCATAACATTCTGAGACTCCGAAATTCTGTAATTCTGAAATTCTGAAAATCCGAACGTGTGAAATTCAATTTTAAATTTCAGATTCATCCCTCATGTGGAGAAATTCGAAGTCAACTTTGAAATTTTCTATTTTAAAATCTCGGGTTCAATGAATTTCAACATATCACCGGACCCTTCAATTTCGACGGATACCAAACAACCGAATACCGTACCACTGGATTTTATATGAAGTCACAATTTGATAATACCAACAGAACAGCTGGAGCATTCAGAGTTCGTCCATATTCTACAGTAAGATTTTATTTCGAAGATGGACCACATTCGATGGATTATATAGTGGACTTGGGTATTCGGGGAACTAATGTTTTCATGATTCCGGAAAGTCTCAAAATTTCTACAAGTGGTACTGAAGACGGAGAGGTTTATGCGCAGTACTTTATCTGGCAAGATCAAATCATTCCATCCACTTTGGCGCCAACGACTACAACGCTTCCGGAGACAACGACGAAGGGGTGTGCGGGATTTTTTGGAGGAGGAATTTTGATGATAATTATTTTGTTTCATTTTTTTTGATAATGTTTTGATATGACTTCACTTCGTGTGAAATTTAAGAGAATTTCTGAATTTCTGAATTTCTGAATTTCTGAATTTCTGAATTTCTGAATTTCTGAATTTCTGAATTTCTGAATTTCTGAATTTCTGAATTTCTGAATTTCTGAATTTCTGAATTTCTGAATTTCTGAATTTCTGAATTTCTGAATTTCTGAATTTCTGAATTTCTGATGAATTTCTGAATTTCTGAATTTCTGAATTTCTGGCTTTTGGAGGGATGGTTTTTCTGGCTTTTGGAGGGATGGTACCCACAAGATACCTGAACATTGCCAACATGTTGTGGATCAGGACGGTGCATATTGCTAATTCTGGATTATTCTTGTGTTTGTGTTATTTACTTATTTAAAAAAATGGACAGTTACTTTCCTGCCAACCTAATAACTACTGTAGAAATCAGTATAAGAGAAATGTTGGATCAACCAGAGTGCTGCGCGAAAGATAACGGAGGAGGCGTAACCAAGGAATAGAATATTTAAGGGTTTTCTCTGAAAATGTCATTATCATTTGGAGCGCAATCGTAAGCGATTCATTTGTCTGTTACGCCAGAACGCGTAAATCTAGAAGTCTCTGATGAACATCACCAAGTTTATCGCAGAATTGTTTTTTCGACCTTTATTCTTTCCTTTTTCCCCAAATGACTTTTGTATTTTCCCAAAGACTTTTATTTCACGAAAACTGGGCTCATTATGGGAACAAGGGGACCCAAAACTGTGCCTCCTTATTCTTCTTGTAACTGGACCAAACCAAAAATGCCACGAAAACAATATGGAGAACCAGAACTATCGATTCAGCAACATCCATTGGGAAATCCTGACTATTCCTATAGATGTTTAGTAATGTAACTGAAAGGCCTCCAGAAACACTAACTGCTAAAAGACACTATTGAAAACAACGAGATGCAGAGAAAGAGTGAGAGCCACAGACAAACGCTATGCACTCACAGAACCTCTATGCACTCAAAGAGACCTGTGTAACCTGAAGACTAGAAGAATACAAAGCACAGATTTCCTATAAAACACTATTTATTGAATTTACTCAATAAACCACTATAAAACCTTTAAAACCAGTGAGCCACACTTTAACGGGTCGTCACCAATCGTGAGCGAACACCAGCGAAAACTAATGAAAACGATGAGAATTTGCCGAGAGAGGAGACGCGTTTTGGCGCGCACACAGTTTCGCGCGCGGATACAGTAATCCACACCTCTTGCACGTGTGTTCGGGGGAGATTTCTCTCCTTTAGACTTGGAAAGAGGATTTTAAAAGAGAAAACACGGTAGAATACCGTACAGTTTTCTTCTATTTCTTTCAACTTCTCCATCACGCACCGCTCGTCAGGACACACTATAGAGAAGTCCATGGGAGAATTATATTGAAAAGTTGAATTTGACCGAATTTCAGATAAAATGTCTTTTTTGGAAAATTGTGAAAGTTTATGTGTTGGGTAGAAGGAAAAAATTTTTAAATGTGATATTTATCAAAAAGGGGGAGGAGTCTACATAGAATTTCAAGTTTAAAATAATGGGGGTGTGATGGACTTTGAAGTTCGATAAGGTTGCGAAAACAAAGATTGATCATTTGGAAACCAAAATTTGGGATTTGTGACATCTGGAATACCACTTTTAAACTGCAAAGGTTTGAAAATGATTGGGTTAAACTCAAGCACATTGGCAATTTCAGTAAGACGTATACACTTTTGAAACTCTGAAAATTAATTTATTGAATTATTGCATTTTGTTCAAATTCCGAACAAGAATTAATAATCAATGAGCTGTAACAACTGGCACAATTTTTTTCTTCCACTCAATAGACAGCACCGTGACAGTAACCGGTATAAAAATCTCTGGAGCATAATGATAAAGATGAACATTCGGATAAGAATTGAAAAGGTTCATAAAATCGTTGTTCTCGAGATATGCGACTGTTATTGGGATCTGAAAGATGTGGATGGAGCGAATTTGCTTTTTCGCATTTCTGCTTACCGCGTACAAAAAACCAGTGATTATCACAATGCTAGTGAACTTAAACTCGTTTGGAGAAATAGGTTTTTTGAAGTTGCTTTGCTTCCGATTAAAAAACGAGATCATCGGAAACAGAAGAGTGATAAGAAGGGGCAAAAAGTAGAGCCAACTGTCGATCTCTCGAAAAAACCAATTAGTTATTCCAAATGCGTCATGATTGAATATATATTCCTTTTCAATACGTTTCCATTTGATCCAGCCACCCAGAGAAGCGAGAAAAACTGTGGACATTAATAGAGAGAGTTGGAATATTAGCTCATGTTTCGAGAATTTCAAAAAAATCGATAATGACATTAGTGGAATCAAGATCAGATGGAAGAAGTTGATAAAGAAGGTACTGTAGACAAAAATGATAAACCAATTATCATAAAATGCCAATCTACTGTACACAGCATCAGGGGAAAAATATCGGATGAACCAGAGTGCTGCCCGAAAGATAATAGCGGAAGAGTAACCAAGGAATAGAATTCTCAGGGGGTCTCTCTTAAAATGGAGTCATTTAGAGTGATTCGAAAAATTAGCCCAATTTATGAGAATTCATTTCTTCTCATTGAAGGCCCTCTGAACATTTCTAAAAACCAAAGACTCTTCAGTCGGATAGCCCAAAGAAAATGTATTAATACTTTAAACGATCTTTTAACAAAACATTTTTTAAATATACAAAAATCTGATAGCGATTTTATTTTAAACATAATGGTGGACGTATTTTCCGTAAAGAATGCTTCTATATTTTGCCCAAGAGAGCTTTATCTTACGAAAACGCAAAAACCCTTACCTCTTCATTCTTCTTGTAACTGTACCAAACCAGAAATACCAGGAATACAGTATGAAGCACCATTACAACCGATTCAGCCGCATCCATTGGGAAATCTTGACTATTCCAATAGCTTTTTTCTACAAACTTCTCGGCCAAGCACCGCCGGTAATAACATTCTAACGGTATAACAAAGCCAATTTCTGACTTATACTGAACACTCAAATTTGACCGAATTTCGGGTAAAACGTCAGGAAGAATTGGAGCCATTTTGTGATGAAGAAATATGAAAGTGTTATGTTGGGTGGAATGAAAAACTTTTCAAATGTTATAATTTTCGAAAAGGGGGACATAAAATTTAAAGTTTAGAATAATAGGGGGGGGGGGGGGGAGTGATAGACTTTGAAGCTTTAAAAGATTGCGAAAACAAAGATTGATCATTTGGATACCGAAAATGGAAATTCGTGACATCAAAAATCTAATTTGAAAAAGACAAGATTCTCAAAATAATAAAGTAGGTTTCGGTCAAGTACATCAACTTTTTGGAAACACTAAAAGACACTCTGGAATTCTTTTAAGAAGATGAAATAGGTTTTTCAAAAAAAAATAGTAGCTACGTATGCTTCAACGGTTCAAAACCTCAAGAAAATTATTTTTTCAATCACCCCTTTTCTATAATGTATAGGCCCTTCTTAAATTTGTAATTTTTGTTGTGATTCGTACAAATGAGGGTATATCTCCAGAACCAAAGTTCTCTCATTTTCTGCAAAAATTTGACCTCATAGACCTGCAAATTCCTAAATTGAATAAATGTCTCATGTTATCCTTGCACATTGTTTTTGTCTACTTGCCAAGGTTTTGGGTTACTCACTAACCAAATTTATTTCACCCACGCATCTCTTTAAAAGCAAAGTTTTACAGCCAAGAACACATTTTAATCTGAAAATGGCCCAAAACTTCACTCTGGCTGATTTCCACCAATTCGATAATTCTACAAAAGAAGCTCTTGTGATTTTTGGAAATGATATTTTACTTGTGTCACAATACTTCGATAAGCTGAACTTCCTTCTAGCAAGTATTGGTGTCTTCATAAATGCTTTTCATATTGTTATACTGTCTAGAAAATCGATAATCTCAAATGTGATCAATGTGATTCTACTGGGCATTGCGATCAGTGACACTATGAATTTGAGTGTCTTAGCACAAAAACTTTTCACTTTGATTTCAAAAACTTTCCAAGATGAATGCACCCTTCCAAATAGTTCTTTAGTCACACAGCTACTATTTTATCTCGCAGTCATAAAGGATGACTTCCGAAGACTATCCACATGGCTTGGCGTGCTTATGGCAGCTCTTCGTTATCTGATAATCAAAAACTCGTTAAATCCAAACTTTAACTTTCTTTCCAAACCTTCTTCCGGTTGGAACACTTTGGCAATTGCATTCATTATCAGTACCTTAATGTCTATGTTCTACTTAATACGAGTGGATCTTAGTTCTGAAGTCTGGGTACCTCCGGAAACCTGCGGGTACCAGACTAACTTCAGAATACTCAAATACAGCTATACAAGTAACAACTTGTTCATCAGTGGGGCAGAGATCTATAAAACTTATATAGTTTTCGATGGGATCTTGAAGGTTGGAAATTTAATAACAACCGATGACTCAGCGAGCGTTTCAGATCATTCCTGCCATTGTGCTCCCCGTATTAGCTGTTTTATTGATAAGAGAGCTGAAAATAGCAGAAGTTTCCAGGAAGAAAAATTCTGTAGTTTCTCGTACTGCTAATCATGCTGATAGCACTTCTAAAATGGTTATCATCATGACTATCACTTGTATATTTGCGGAAGGACCAATGGGGATATCATTTGTTCTTGAAGGCCTAGTAGCGGATGTTCCAAAATTGAGGTTTGCTAGATAATCATTCGGATCGTCTGCAAAAGTTTTATTCCAGAAAAATAGTAAACTGTTTAGAGTCCATACTTTTCATTTTCGTCATTTTGAACGCAACGACTCACTTTTTCGTGTGCCTCGGAGTTTCTACACCGTATGGAAAAGCAGTTAAAGAGTTGTTGGGGTACAAAGAATCCCAGAAACCTGTAAGTTTGTTGTAGAATTTTACTGTATTTTTGAGATTTATTTTCAGATAACAATAAGCCCGAAAATCAGTTCAGCAAGCATTGTTACAACACGAAAAGTAGATGCTAGGATAGATGGTTAAATTTGCTTCGTTTATTCTATTCATTGATTTATTTGTTGTATCCTTGAAGGTTTCATGAAAAGATGCTAGAATTCATTAATCGAAAAATAAGCTCATGTTTTGTTTTTTTTTGCTTTTACGCTTGTATAAAAAATGGGAGATGTCTAATTGTAAGAGGAAAGCTTGTGCATGTGATCAAAGGTTACTGTAGCGAAAAACACCATAACCTGAATAATTGGGTCCTTTATTCTTGAATACTAACATTTTTTGACAACCTTCGTTTTCAAAACCAAACAAGAGCGAGAATCAAAACATATTTGATAATTACGGTAGTTCGGCCGTGGCCCCGGCCACCAGATTCTCTTTTCAACCAAAACTTTATTGTATCTAGGGGAACATTGTTCTCACCTAACTATGCCCACAGTTTACGACAAGCTACGCTGCATTTGTGAGTTTGGAGAAACTTGTACAACAAAGTACCCCTGAGAGCATGGTGGTCTGTGAGCAATTTCTAGGTCATTATGAACGCTGTCGGTAACTTTAGCAAATGTTTCAAACATGCACAACTAGGACTACAATATAGAAAAAAACAGAATAATGAAAAGTTAAACCAATGCTGAGATATGAACATCGAAAAAAATTACAAAGGCTTTTTTTTGCTCAAGATAATAATAGGTTCTGTGTTTTGTATATACACATTTTCAGTTACTCTTCAATTAAATTCATTTGATCCACCTTTTCCGTTAAAAACACACACATCCTTACAGCATACACCCCTATTTCTTTTGTCAGAAAATGTATCACAACTTTGTTCCCTCCGATTTCGAACAATTCGATAATTCTACAAAAGAGGCTCTTGTTATCATTGGGAATGCTCTTGTATTTATTACTCAATATTCCAATAAACTAAGCTTCTGCCTCGCAGTTATTGGTGTCTTCATGAACGCGTTTCATGTTTTCATCCTCTCCAAAAAATCGGCAATCTCAAATGTGATCAATGTAATTCTGCTGGGCATCGCTATCAGTGACATGATGAACTTGAGCGTGATAGCTGAAAAAATGTTCTTTTTAATTTACCGAGATGCATGTACCCTTCCAGATAGTTCTTTTATCACAAAGCTACTTAATTTTCTTGAATTCATGAAGGACGACTCCCGAAGACTATCCACGTGGCTTGGTGTTCTTATGGCATCTCTTCGCTATTTGATCCTAAAAAATGATCTAAATCCGAACTTTGACTTTCTCTTCAAATCATCGTCAGGCTGGAAATCCTTGGCTATCGCATCCACAATCAGTTTTCTAATGTCTCTTTTCTATTGGATTCGCGTGGATCTTTTTTCTGTAGTCTGGGTACCTCCGAAAGCCTGTGGGTACCCGACTAACTTTAGTATGCTCAAATATAGCTATAAAACGAATGAACTGTTCTTCAGTGGGAGAGAAACCTTTAAGTCTTTGATAGCTTTCGATGGAATTTTAAAGGTTTGAGACAAATGTGAGATTTATAAATGAGAAATCAGTTTCAGATCATTCCTGCTTTTGTTCTTCCAATCCTAGCTGCTTTGTTGGTAAGGGAACTCAAAAAGGCAGAAGTTTCCAGAAAGAAAATGCCTGTATCTTCTCAAAGTGCTAATAATTCTGATAACACTTCTAAATTGGTTATCATTATGACGATTACTTGTATCTGTGCTGAAGGACCGATGGGAATAGCATTCGTAATTGAAGGACTGGTAGCAGATGTTTCAGCGTTGAGGTTTGACTAAAAACCACTGGGAAACACTGCAAACTTTGTATTTCAGACTACTAGTCATTTACTTTGAGGGAATACTTTTCACTTTCGTTATTTTGAACGCAACTACTCACTTTTTCATCTGTCTCGGAGTTTCGACAACGTATAAAAAAACAGTTAATGAGTTTTTGGGGTACAAGAAACCACAAAAGCATGTGAGTTTATTTCAGAGTTTTACCATGTTTTGAGAGTATATTTTCAGATAACATCCATAAATCCAAAAATCAGTTCAACAAGTACTGTCTCGCGGAGACAAATAGCTAGGATAGATGGTTAAAATAATTCAATTTATTCGATATTTTTGTATTTATTTTATTTTTGAAGACTGAAATACATATATGTATTTAAAGAGAAATAAAATTATAAACTTGTTAAAGTTCGACATTCCTTTAGTATTGCAAATAACTGGTTCCGTTTTCAAAAACACTGAGCAGTAATAGAAACCAAAAAGGAGACCCAAGCCAATATGGAATCAATGAAATCATCAATGGTTTTGGGAGCACAACTTGTCCTACCATCTTCCTATAAAAATTTTATCAGAAACCAGAAGGCTGGTGCGCCTCCGGCGCAAGTCAATCTAGTTTTTTACTGGTTCGTCGCTCTTTTTCTTAAAGGGTCACGTCAATTCACATTTATTTTTGAGCTTTTCAAAAGATGACAGCCTGAAATGATGAACAACAGATGCGTGTAGTGTTATATATATATATATATATATACCGTAAAACCTTTNCAACTACAACCCCTCAGAATCCCCTCGAATGCTCCATAAAACATATATATCTCTGGTCCACTGAAGAACAGTTTATTACTTATAAAGCCATATCTTGTCATACTGAAGCTCGTCCGCTCCCCACAGGCTTCCGGAGGTCTCCAGATTTCAGATATAAGATCCACGCGGATCACATAAAACATAGACATTAGGGTACTGACAATGAATGCAATAGTCAAAGATTTCCAGCCTGAAGATGGTTTGGAGAGAAAGTTAAATTTCGGATTTAGAGAATTCTTGATGATAAAATAGCGAACAGATGCCATCAGAACACCGAGCCACGCGGAAAGTCTTCGGAAGTCGTCCTTGATAAATAGGAGAAAATAATTGAGCCTTGTGATGAAATAACTTTTTGG